CTTCAGTGGTAGCACCTCCAAGAAAGTCTAAAATAGATTCCTGGTATGGGGAGTGTCAGCCTGAGCTCTGAAAAACTCTTGGGGAAAGCAAGAATGGGTTGAATGAATGGTTTCACGGAGGATGGGGAAGGAGGACAGCTATAGAAGAGGGTGAACAAGGAAGAAGAGGGGACAGTGAGTCAGACGGAGGCAGCTGGCTATACAAGCTGGGTTATAGTTTGTTGTTTTGAGTGTATGTACTGAGGTGGAGTGGAATGTCTCAGATGATCCTCTTTGGGTGATCAGCTCTCTCTCTCTCTCTCTCTTTTTTTTTTCAAGACAAGGTTTCTCTGTGTAACAGTCCTGGCTGTCCTGGAATACGCTTTGTAGACTGGGCTGGCCTCATACTCACTGAGATCCACCTGCCTTTGCCTCCCGAGTGCTGGGATTAAAGGTGTGCACCACCACTGCCTGGCTAATCAGTTCTTTTTGGAGGTTGCTTCTGCTATTTTGCCTTCCAGCTGCTTCCAGCTGGAAGCATTTGTATCTAGACACTTGAAGCCTGTTCCAAGATTCAATTCCCAGGAATAGGAAGCCAGAAAGAAGGAGCCTGCAGTGGCCACCACTTACTGTTTCCAGTCCTGCATTGGTCTTGGTCATTTGGAGAAATGTGGTTGCCTCGGTCTGGGTTGGATGTTGGAGGGCAGTCCTGTGGGTCCTACTTGAGTTCACAGGGTGGAGTGGTGGCCCTTGCCAAAACTCCAAGGATGTGGGGCCTGAAAATGTAAACAACTCCAGGCTGAGCTTGGAGGCCAGGGCCAAAGTATTGGCTAAGTGTCACAGAGATTCTCTAGAAAATACCCACACAGGGCCTTGGGCTCTGGCATTGCCAAGGCTTGATTTTTCTTTCTTAAAGAAGCAGATAAAAAAAGTAGATTTTGAGTATTGAGGCTTTTTAAGATGGGCTGCTTCTTTGTGTATGCCCAGCATACACAAAGCCCTAAGTTTGCCGGGCGGTGGTGGCGCACGCCTTTAGTCCCAGCACTTGGGAGGCAGAGCCAGGCGGATCTCTGTGAGTTCGAGGCCAGCCTGGGCTACCAAGTGAGTCCCAGGAAAGGCGCAAAGCTACGCAGAGGAACCCTGTCTCGAAAAACCAAAAAAAAAAAAAAAAAAGACCCTGTCTCAAAAACAAAGCCCTAAGTTTGATCTCCAGCTCTCCATAAAACTGGGCATGATGGCACATGCCTGTGATCTTAGCACTCAGGAGGTAAAGGCATAGAGGATCAGAAATTAACAGTTATCTTTGGCTACATAGCAAGTTTGAGGCCAGCTTGGGCTATACGAGGCCTTGTCTCAAAAAACCAACCAGTTAACCAAGCAGCCAACCAACCAACCAACCACCCAAAGGTGGGATGTTCTAAAGAGCCAGAAACGTCTTCATAGCCTTCACTTTAAAGCGAGATAAAGGAACTCATTTTTCTCAAGTGAATTTAAATAGATAAGGGAGGCATTTGCCCTTTTGAAGGACACATGATGCCAAGGGAAGCTATTTCTTAGTTTTGCCATTAACTCCCACCTGCCTTGGTGTGTTACCCTTCTGTTACCATGAGAAACATCTGAGACACTTATAAACAGAAAAGGTTCGCTAGGTGTTGTGGTGCATGCAATTGGGAGGCTGAGGCAGGAGGATTGGGAGTTTGAGGCCAGTCTGGGATATAGGGTTAATTTTTGGCTTATAGTCTTAGAGGTTTCTGTCCATAGTCAATTGGCCTGTTGCTTTTGAGCCACTGGTGCACAGCACACCATGGTGGTAAGAACCTGGAGGAAATCCCATTATCACTTTCAAAGGCTTGCCTCGAATGGGTGTAAACCTCCCCCATGATCTATCTCTGAACGTTTTCATCACCTTTCAATAGTGCCAAGTTAGGGGCTAAACCTTGAATATAAGGACCTGTCTAGGACATTCAAGCTCTCAAGGAAAGTATCTGTGAAAAGTAACAAGAGTGGGTTTCATAGTATGGAATGACATTAACTTGCCCATTTAACTATCAGTGGAAATTTGGTTTGCTTTTGGCAATTGTAAACCATGATATTGTGAACATGAATATATAGGCATTGATTTGAGACTCTGCTTTCAATTCTTTGGGGGAATAAACTCAGAAGTAGAATTGCTGGATTCTATGGTAATCCTATTTCAATTGTTTAGGAACTCCACCCGTCCCCAAATACAAGCCTACTACTTTAATAAACACCGCCCCCCCTCGCTAGCCCTAATCAGAGTTTCACTTTCATCTCATTGGCTACACTGGGTCACATGCTCACTTCTAGCTGCAAGGAAGTCTGAGGGAAAAAAAACAAACAAACATTTTTTTAACTAGGCATAGAATCTTTTTTTCTTTCCTCCTCCTCCTCCTCCTCCTCCTCCTCCTCCTCTTCCTTCTTCTTCTTCTTCTTCTTCTTCTTCTTCTTCTTCTTCTTCTTCTTCTTCTTCTTCTTCTTCTTCTTCTTCTTCTTCAGATCTCATGTATTCCAGGATGGGAATCAAACTTGCTATCTAGCAAAGGACATCCTTGAATTTCTGATCCTCCCCCTGCCCTCCCCAGTGCTGGAATTTGGTTTTCATATAATGCTGGGGATTAAACCCAGGAGTCTGTGTACAGTAAGCAAGCACTGTGTCAACCTAGCTACATCCACCAGCCTAACTTGGAACTTCAGAGAACAGAAACTGTACTCTATTTTAAGGAAGAAGAGGAGAATAAATCTTAGGTGACAATTGGCAGCCTGAGGGCAAATGAGAACAGAGAAAGGGCTGGTAGTTGAACAGGAACGTTGTAAGAGAATTTATATTTTAAAAAAAATCTCTGGCAAGTGACAATTGATGAGTAAGTTCAGGAGAATCAGTGAAGAGACCCCACAACAATCCAGTGAGGAATACTGGGGACCCAGAAGGGTGAGCAGGGAATAAGGTATTCAGAGAAGGGATGGACTCTGGAGACGTTTGGGGGAGGGGTGTCCTTTAGTGCCTATCTGGGTTTTGGCTGTAAGGAGGTAAGAACAAACTGAGTCCTGGTTTGTGTCTCAGGTCCTTCTTGGTTTTAGAAGGAACAGGTTTCAAGGACAGGTGATAGTTTAGTTTTGTATTGTTGAGTCTGGGGAGCCGGCAGGCTGTATAGGTAGAAAATGTGGGGAAGGACTGTCTGTCTCAATCTGGGTCTTTCAGGATTGGTTTGTGACTTCCTTGGGGACTTTGAGGCAAAACTGCAGACTTTTTTGAATCACCTGTTTCTGTGCTTGTCTTAGTTACTTTTCTGCTGCAGTGAAGAGACACCACGACCAAGGCAATGTCTAAAAGAAAGCGTTTAATTTGGGGGCTCATGGTTCCAGAGGGTAGTAGAGTCCAAGACTGTCATGGAGGGAGTATGGTAGCAGACAGGCAGGCAGGTAGGCATGCACTGAAGCAGTAGCTGAGGGCTTACCTCAGATTCACAGGGAGGAGGCAGAGAGAGAGAGAGAGAGAGAGAGAGAGAGAGAGAGAGAGAGAGAGAGAGAGAGGGAGAGAACTAGAATGGTTTTTGAAACCTTAAAGCCCACTTCTAGTGACATACCTCCTTCAACAAGGCCACACCTCCCAATCCTTCCCAAACAATTTCTCCAGACAGAATGAGTGGAGAACACCCTCTATCCTGAATGTCTCTGCTTCAGGTGGGACTTGTCAGAAACACCCCCAATGTCAACCTCCCAGAAATACCAAACCAACATCTTCTGAACTAAGAGACTCTTGTTTGCTAAATGGTCACTCTGTCTTTCTGTGTCTGTGGCCAACTGAATGAATTTCAGCTGAATGGTCCTTTAGACACACCACCTATGCCTTGTTCAAGGTGTCAGAGCCCCTTGGACTGAGAACCAATGCTCATTATTTTCTTCCCTCTTGGACTGTGCTCTTGAGCAAGGATGAAAAAAACCTCCCCAGTATAAAGTATTCCTTCACCACCTATCATGGCTGAGTTGGGAAGCTCATGGACCAGCCAACCTGGTGCACGCAGCAGAAAAACAAAGACATCTTGTCTTAAGCAAGGTGGAAGTCAAGGACTGATACCCAAGGTCATCCTCTGACCTCTACATGAGAGCTGTGCCACTCAGGCAGGAACATGCACACACAGTTTTTGAAATGCCAAATTTACATTCAGAAGCATAGACATAGATAGCTATGTTTGACCTCAGCACACCAATTCCAAGAGGTGAAATAGTTCTGTCTCTTCCCTTAACAGGTGGGTGTCCTCAGATAAGTTACCATAAAATCTCTTTGTGTCTAAATCTCCTTATCTGTAAAAATGAGAATAACAGCATGCACTTCGTTGACTTTTGAAGATTAAACGAGATAAAATTGTGAAGAGCTTGAGACAGTAGCAGACACAAACAGAGGCTGGCACGGATTCTTGCCTATTTCCTAAGCCCTCTCTGAGAGCTGCGGTCACTTGGGTTAAGTCTGGCAGCAGTACAAGGTTAGCTCTCTGCATCCCTCACGTCCTGGTTTTCTCATCTGCAAAATGGAAATAGTATCTACCTGGTGGGGGCCTTGGGAAGATCTATGGAGGCCGGCATGGAGAGCTTTCTGGCTAGGCTTGAGCCCTCAGAAGACCAGCTCCACTGCTGCTGTTTCCTGTCTGTGTGATGGACAGATCCAAGCCCAGGTGTGGTGATGCTGGCAAATTTCAAGCAGGCTTAAACACCCCCCTCTGTCCTCCTCTTGTAGCTGGCTGGAGCTAGATCTTTTAAGGCCTTGGTCCAATGGGGTGGGAATGGATAGGTGGTAAAGATGGGGGTTAGGGGCCGGCCAGGCTTACTCTTCCCTTTGGAACCTGGTCCGGCCAACAGCTGCCATGGGGCTGGGGACGGGGTTGGGGGCAGGGTTGGTCCGGTGTCTGTGGGTGTAAGAAAAAGAGGAAAACCATCTCAGTGGAAATTGCCCTGCGGTTGGCTCAGGCGCCCACAACACTGTATTTATAGAGAGCTCCCAGCAACTCTGGAATTCTTCACTGTCGAGTTAACCCTTTCCGAGCCGCGGTGCCAGCCTGGTGTCGAGGGGAGAAATACAGGACTGAGATGGGACAGCTGGATTGCAACAGGGCTTGGAGCCAACAGCTTGGAGGATGGGAGTGGTCAATGGCCAGTCACCTGTCCTCTCTCACCGAAAAAGAAACTTTGGCTCTTGGAAGTGTTTGAGTCCCTGTGGGGGATGGGCAGTGAGTAGTCCAACAACCCCTCCTCGGAGCCCAGGGTCTTCCCCGGCAGGGGTCGAGCTGGGGTCCGGGTCGGGGGCGGGTCCAGGCCCGGGGCCCTGCCCAGCAGGCGGGCTCAGGCCTTGTGGTCGGATCTCCTCCGCGGGGCCAATTCAGCCTCTGGGGCGCACCCGGGTGGCCTTTCCGGGCCCGCAGCTTCCTCTGGCCGTCCCGCCCCTCTCACTCCCGCCCCCCGGCCCTACTCTGGCCGGGCCTCGCGGCGGCAGCAACACCGATGGTGGCGGCGATTGGGCTGCACCCCGCCGTGTCCCCGAGTCCCGGGAGTCGGCGCGGCGCGGTGAGTGCTTGCGTGGCGCGGGGCGGCGCGGGCTGGGGCCGCCTTTGTGTGCGGCCGCGCCTGGACCGTGCGCGCTCAGGCGCGGGGTGCATGGAGCTGGGAGCCCGCGGCCCTTTCCCACAAGGCACCAGCACCCTGATCAGAGGACACCGCTAGGGCTCTAGGGCCCGGAGGAGCTAAGAGCACCGCTGCCTGGCCGCTCCCTTCTTGGGGCTGAGACCCGCTGGGATTTGTGGGATCTGAAGACTCCCCGAGTCTGGGACTTGTGGGGCCCCAGACTGGGTGGGTGACTGTTCAGGCCCTGGGTGTGGAGTGGGCATGAAGGCAGGTAGGTCACTGGGTTGATGGTTCTGGAAGCGGAAGGAAGCTGCTCGTCAAGACTGGGAGGGAAGCATTCCCCCGACTTTGAGGAGGAAAACACCATGAATGCCAGCTCTGAGAAGGGAAGCTGCGGGGGAGGGGAGCACGAGGTTAGGTGGTCCCCTGTGCTTGGTTCTGGAGGTGTAGATGACCGGCCGACTTCTACAAGCTGCAGAAGAGCGTGAGAGAACAGGCTCTGGGAACAGCTTTAAAGACTCCCCCCAAAATTAAAGATTGAAGTGGAAATAGGGATGGGGCAGTTTGAGATGTCTTAGCTAAATGGAGATGGATGGAGAGGAGATCCAGAGGAAGGTGGAGAGAAGCTGAAGGCCCAGGGTGGGACCCAGAGGACAGAATATTGAATCCAGTTCCCGCGGGTGCTTCCTCACTAGGGCGGAGCCTACCAACTGCAGATTTGGGAGTTTAAGGCAGTGACCTGGCAGAAAGGGGGTTTTTATTTCTAAGCCAAACCTGCTCTAATGAGAAATGCATGATGAATGACTCAGACCTGAGAGCTTATCTCATAGAAGGGAAATACTAAGCAAATATTAAATCAGATGTTTGTATATGTGTATCTGGGGGTTTTGTGTATGTGTTGGGGAGACACTGACTTAATTGTGAAAAACTATTTCCTTTCAGATTGATTGTGGATGATCATCTGTAAATGAGTATTGATTAAATTAAACCCAGTCCTTAAAAAAAATTTTTTTTTAAAGATAGAGTCTCACTCTGTAGACCTGGCTGACCTTGACTCACAGAAATCCACCTGCCTCTGCCTCCCTAAGTGCTGGGATAAAGGCATGCATCACAGTGTCAGGCTCAAGTCCTTTTCTTTTAAGTGTGTGTGTAGCTACTTTGAGTTTGAGAAACTAATGAAACTGTTTGAACTGTGTGAGAATTATTTATTTAGTTGAGGCTCCTTGCTCATCCCCTCTGACTTCCCACAAGTCCCCAGGGCTGCTGCTGAGCAACGGCATTCCTTGTAGTTTGGGGACCTGCAAATAATACTTGAAATTTAACCTAAACTTGCCTTATGGGCTGGGCTGATTGAACGGCAGGCAAGCGTGGAGGGCTGGGGAGCTAAGCGGTATGGAGTGGTGGCCTCTATTTCCAACTTGGTTGGGAATAAGAATATTTTGGATGTGTGCATTTTCCTGGTTGCTGGAGTTCTGAAGCACTAACTCTTGACTAATTGTGGCCCATGGATGTCTTTCCCTCTGGTGTTACAAATACATCACAATTAGCTGACATTTCATCATGTCACTGGGGATGTAGCTCAGTGTATGGAATGCTTGCCTAGCATGCATGAAGTCCTGATTAGATTCTCAGCAACAAGCAGTGCATAAACTGGTTGCTGTGGCTCGTCCCTGTAATCTCAGTGCTTAGGGGTAGAAGCAGGAGGCTCAGAAGTCACCCTAGGCTACATAGTTCAAAGCTCTTCTGGGACACACGAGACTTGTTTCAAAAAGAAAGGCTTTTCATTACATCATCACTTTAGGTTGGTCCTGTAGACATCAGTTTTGCCACCAAGTGTCATGAAGCAAAGGGACAGTAAAGAGAGAGTTTCTCCATGCATGGAGTAGCCTCGGTGATGATTTCATTGGTCCCATGACTGGTCTACAGAGTTCTGTGCAGTCCTGGCATCCGTGGTGGCTTCTTCCTGCTTGCAGAATATTGCTCACGCACTCCAGACTTGTGCAGCAATAGGATAGGCCCTGCATCTTGTGAGGGAAGAAGCCTGGTTTCAGGCCGGCCTCAGCGTCAGAGGGGAGTTGGGATTTTTGACCCAGTTTTCTTTTCCATCACTGTCCCCCTTAAGCTCTGTCCAGGCACCTGATGGGAACAGGGCACTTGAATGCCCAAGATGCTCAGATGCCTGGCAGCTGGGTGCCTGGCAGCTGGGCTGGATGCTTTAATGTTTATCTTCAGAACAGTTATAGAAGTGCTGGCCTTTCAGAACAGTCCTCTGGGGAGCCTGCATCCTTATTCTGGAGAGGCCACACCTGACGCTTTCTGCAGGAGTCACCCTCCTCCCAGGCTGACCTCTAGGGGGAAGCCTTCATTCTCTTTGGTGGGATTTGGGTTGGACACGAAGATGAGAAATCTAGTTTGGGATGCAGTGTGATCCCAGAGCTGTGAGTTGGCATTCCACATCCTCAGAGAGACTCCTAGAAAGTGTTGAGCGAGTGTCTGACCTGTAGCCGGATGCTTCTGGGTTGGGCTGTGTGCAGAAAACAACCCAAATCCTTTGAGATTATGACCACATGGGGGCTATTGAGCTGTGAATCTGAGTCATAGGGTTGGGAGAGAAGGAAGAGGGCAGGGAGGGTGATGTCACTGCCCAGAAGCTTATCCTCTGAGTGGGTGGGGACTTTTGATTGCAGTCCCTTTTCCCACACCCTGGGGCAGGAGTGGCAGGGAAATCTACCTGAAAAAGGGGAAGGGCCTTGGTTGAGGAGAGGGGCTCAGCATGGCCACACAATGGGAGAGGGCCACATGTGCTGATACACAGCCCTTGCCACCACCTTCAGGCCAGCCAAGCGGTCCTCAGTGTTCAGGGTAGGAGCATTGAATTTTCAGGATTCAGGGGTAAGGCTGTGCTGGATGGACATCATGTGATTATCTTAACATCCTTGAAGAGAAGAAGAAACCCAAGCCGGGCAAGGGCAAGTCACATACCCACAGACGCACAATAAGCAAATGGTGACGGCAATCTATTGTCTGCCTTCAGAACTGGCTCTTTCGGCCACTCCAGAGGCAGCCTTAGGTTTGACTCATTTTGGACGTTGGCAAATGTGCCAAGGGTCCCCTGGGGCAGAGAGAACTCATCTGTTGAGCCAGGGAGAGAACAAGCCTGACCACAGAGACTTGACAGAATATTCTTGTCCTGTCAGAGGCCTAGTCATTGTCACACTGATGCTCTCAACTCTAGGGAAGAGACCTGTCTATGCCCTCCGGTTCTGACTAGTTCTTCCAGTCAGCAGCCCCCGTTCTCCCTCTCAGTTTCTCTGTGGTCCTGGGAAAGATGCCTCCACACCCTTCATAACTTTGGCATTAGCCCTCCCCGGGGAAACACTGGAATATTTGCTTATGAAGAGACCCTGACCTGGGGGGTGACAGCCGTGGGGCAACAGGGACTGGAACCCTTGATGCATGAAGTGATGACCTAGTTTCTGGGATGAGCACAGGGAAAGGGGAATAGAAGAAGCCAGACCTAAAGGTGAAGTTGAACTGTATGTTTGCTGCTCTGGAGACCGGTGATGGTGGGGTCTAGGTGGGAAGAAGAGCACTCAGAAGGACCAACAGTCCCCAGGACCTGGATGGATAGCCCTGTAGAGCAGGTCTTGGCTGGGAAGAGGTGAGGAAGCACATGCAGAAGGACCCGGGAGGCCTAGTCCTCCATGCCTGTGGCTGTAATAACGGTAATGACAATCATTACCTTTGGGAAGCTGGGCATATGATATGTACCTAGGATCCCAGTGCTTGGGAAGTAGAGGCAGGAGCATCAGGGGTTCAAGGCCAGCCTCAGCTACATAATGAACTTCAGGCCAGACCTGGATATAGGAAACCCTGACTCAAAAAAAAAAAAAAAAAAAAAAGAAAAGAAACAGTAAGACAGGCTCAGGAGAAGGCTCAGTGGGAGGTGCTTGCCCCAGAAGCTTGAGGACCTCTACCTGCATTTGCATTCCCACAAACCGCTAAAGCGGGCTGTGTTTGCAGTTCCAGGGTTGCTGTGGTGAGATGGGAGGTTGAGACAGAATAATTCCCAGAAGCTAGCCTTGTCTCAAACAAGGTGAAAGGTGAGGACTGACACCCAAGGTTGTCCTCTGATCTCCACACATGTGCCGAGACACCAGTGTGCCTGCATCACACATGAACACACACAACAATAAAATTTACCACCGATTTGGCATTAAACACTTTAATCGATCTTTCTCTGTTGTCTTTATTCTCATGGCAACTTGGTGGGTTAGGAAATGTCCGTCTTGTTTTATAGATGAGTCTCAATAGGTAGTCACTGTCATTGACATTGGTTTGTCACTCTAGCGGGGCTACTCCTGAGCCTAAGCTGTGCCCTGGGCAGTTAAAGCAGCCTGGCAATTCCAGCTAATAGGTGAGGAATCCAGGCCTGGGGGCATTCATGAGCCAGTTCTAACACTCATTAGTCACCCTTGCTGGCATGGGTGACTGTGGGCCCTAGGGCAGCACCCTCTCTTCTGGGCTCACATTCTCATATGAACCTGGCTGTGGGCCCCAGGCCAGGTGTATTTCAAAGGGCCTCCTACTTCTAAGGACTGGCAGAGCC